GGATCAACGTTAACTCACGTAATGTAAAGACTGGCATACGTGAGTTGCGAGGCGACTTGAACCCCCGCTCACCAAGATTTCCTGACGACGATCCCTTTTCCCTGTGTGAGACACGAATTGTGTCCTCCCCCGCACGGATGGTACATGTGGATCTTTTGCTTACTGGCAGGCTACTGGCGAGTTGTAATTAGAGAGGGGTGACATGAGTTAAATCCATGGGCACCAATACTGGAGACTATGCCACTATTACATGAAGAGAGCCTCTCAGGCCTGATTTGAGGCTTCATGTCTGGTCAGACTCGAGACAATTCATCGCTTGTTTGCAGTTGACCCAACTGCAAGACTAATGACTATCATCCTCGACTTTTGTAACCTTGTGAAAACGAGCGGTTCAAATTTCAAGAATGACTGGGCACTTTGCTTTGATCAATGAAGCAATACATAGCTTTCATCAAATCATCTTTCGTACAAGGCAAATCAATCTGCTTTTGGATTTTTAATTTTGAATTATGGGTGTGTGGGTCAATCCCTCCACAAACCGTCTATCATGTTGGACGTTTCGATTCTCGGGTGGTTTCCGATCCGGATCACGGCCATCGCCAGGCTCCGCTCATCGAGGGTCTCTCTGCATACAAGTCGAGCACTCAGAGCTTCTTCACTCTTCAGCCGTCGATAATTAAAAATCAAGTCGGTCAGCTGATGTGATTGACTAGTCCTGAACGGGAGTGGACGACCTCATGAAGCGGGAAAGCAGGGAACATCGAAGATCAAAAGGAAAGCCTGTTGTACTATGATTTCCCAGAATTATAATGCTGGGAAGGACAAACAGAAAGGGCGCGATGGATGCATCCATGGCAATGTGTATGTAGAACTGTGGAGTGAAGATCACAACACACGCCACCCCCACACTCGCGTAAGCCACGCACAACCCAAGCACGTTCGTGCTCTTACATAACTTCAACTTTTCCATGACTTCAAGTTGCTATGCCACGGCTGACTAAAAACGGTTGCCAAGCTCGGCTTTCTTTGCACACATCAAAAATAGTGAATTTGTGAAACCTCCAATTTGTTGGGCAGCATTCCTGTCTGGGGTTTGGTTTCAAACCCCCCAAACCCCCAATCATCCATGCCACTATATTTCACCAAAATTGACCATGAGGATGAGTGGTAAAGGACTCAACATATACCTCATGGTAAATCCTAGTGATAGGCAGGTTCAAAAAAATAAGATAAAAACAGGTTCCTGCAGAACAGCCAATTCCTCTCTGTGCCTTTGCCTCTATCTCTTCCCTTTCTCTCCCTTTTTTTTTGCTTTACTCCATTTCCTGTGTGTCAACTCACAGTTCCTAGAAGATCATCCAAGTCTACTCCCATGATTAATTCATCAATCCAACACATTGCATCCACAGGATAGTTCCTACTTCTTGACAAATGCACTCATCTCTTTGCCGCTGGAGCCTTGTGGTTATCTTCCTGTCAACAGCTTCCTTATTTTGTCCATCTGCAAAGTACCTTTCCTGCCATTCTTCTTGCTTTGTTTTGATTACCAGTTCACAAATCACCCATTCCCCTAAATCACAGCAACCACCTTCACACAACTAACTTTCTTCCTGCCCGTGCAATGTCCTTCTATGGAATCCAATTGATTATTTAGCTCAAAGAGATTTTACTCAAATAAAACCATATGATCAATGTAATTTGAATTATGCAAATCAATATCTGTTCTGTAATTTCTAATGGAAAAATCCAAAAAGAAAAACTGCAAGAAATGGCCAGTATTGATTCAAATGCACCTGGAACTGGCATGGTTTTTACTTACCTCATTATATGCACCCAGTGAAGGCATTGGCACATGGTCAACTCTTCTTTCTCCTTATAAATGACCAAAAAATATCAATAAAGGAGTCTCTCTGCAGTCCACATGTGTGGAAATAAACACCCAGAGACTAATCAAGGATGAGAGAGATAAAGAGTGTGGATGTAAGTGAAAATGCCAGCAAGATGAAAGAATGAGGAGAATGGAAAAAGATGGGTATTTCTTTGTTGAGTTTTCGGAGTCAATGAAGAATTGCTCCTACATCAGATATCAAAGTCTACAAGAGTGTGTTGATTCATTGGGAAACAGCCCAAATCCTAGAAAACTACTTATGCCAAATAATCACAGTGATTGAGTTCCATAGACAAGGATAAAAACAGAAGATTTGCAAAGTATGTGTCAAATTTACAACATCCTGCATGGACCTAATCTTAGGGGTGCAAATTCTTTAGCAAAAGATCCTTTGTTTGATAAATAAGTACCACATAAATTCAATAAATAAGAACATGCACTAGCTACACAAAGTATAAGTTGATGAACTCATATGCTCAAACCCCTTCTTTTCTTGTTATAAATTTTCCTATCAACCAAACATGCACCAACAGGAATATAACATTGCAAATATGAAAATGACCATAGAGAAATCATTGATTCGATTCACTATTTCGTCAAGATGTCTTTGTCCAACAGCCTCCAATCTTTGGAATGTTTCTCTGTAAGAGATGCCAGACATTGGTATGTTACATTGCAGACAGATGTCAGATATACTATACCAATCTGCCGCACAATCTTCATGGTAAATGTGCAAGCATTTTGGAATCTGGATTGGGTCTTCCCACTTTTCAATTGTGTCATGACAAATCCAACAAGTTTCTGGTGGGGGTTTAATCTTCTTCTGCTGGATGTGCGCTGGGTTTTCTCCTTGTGATGTACTAGGACGATTTTTAGTATTCTGATTCAGAATAGGTGAATAGGTCTCAGTGTTTGATGTCTTGCATTGATTTATTCTATTGTGGATTTGGCCTGTCTGTTCAACAAAGTTCACCTGAAAGACAATTTCACAAAAGCCATAGTTTTAGTATCCATATTGGTACTCTGAGTGGAAATCTTATTGAAGGTAAAACTCACCGGATGACTTTGCTTGCTGTTGGAAGACCCGATGGATGGATTTAATTCCATTGGATGTAATGAGTGTGGATCACCTGAGAATTTTGGATCTGTCTTCACTTCTTTAGAAATGGTTCCAAATCCCTCCAGCTGCTTCATTCCCACGCCATTCCCAATAAACTACTTGGAAACATGGCAATGCCAGCTTGGAATCACCCCACCCAATTGTAGAGCAGGAAGTAAGGAGCTTTACCATTGCCAGTACTATATAAAGTAAGCCACAAGACATGCTTGAAACTGAAAATAAATGTTCAGATGGAAAGTATTTGGGTGTGGTGTTAATGTTGGATATGCTGAGAGCCACTGATAAGAAAGTAATTTTGAGTTTTTTCTGGGGAAAAATTTTCAAACTCTGTTGAGCTAGGAGCTCTGAAGGTTGTATTTATATTCACCTCAACAAGTGTACTCAACTTGCAAAATTGTAGCAACATCAGTATGCACATGCTGAGTAGGGAATATGGCCTCTAGCTTTTTCATTTTTTTCAAGTGGGGCACACTGTGAAAACTTGAATGTAAAATGCAAGACATCCATGAGTTTGGATACTTAACTCAAGACTGGTTTTAGTTTCGATAGCTGTGCTTGGGACTTGGGTTGGTGGCTCAAGGCAGTCCTCACACTCCAAAAAAAATCTGGTGTAACAAGATCACCATAGAGACTTGACTTAAAACCTGTCTACATCTCAGTATGAGTAATACACCTAGCAGTTAATGAGATGTATGTATGTACCTGCAGGATACACACATATGTAGCAGCTTCATATATAATCTCAAGTCAAATTTTCATCGCAAGGAGGGGAGGATATTTATTAGAAGAATCCAGACCACAACAAAATAGTACCAAGATAAAGGGCGTGAAGAACTACTGGAAGAGCTAAATACATATGTACATTTATATATAAGGATGTTTTGGAGGCCCTCAACAACTAAAAAAAACACAACATGAGGGTCGGAAAGTAAAGGTCATCGACGACTCTTACAACGCTTGGGGGATGAGTTTTTTTAGG